CTGAAAAAGTGCTTTTTCAACGGCATCACCGCGTCGCTGCTAGACATCGACCATTTCATCGCTGCAGGAGCTTTAAATCTCACTGGAGCGACCCATTTAAAAGGCCGCCCATTCGGCCACGCTGTCACCTTCATCATCGCAGTGGCAGTGTTGGTTAGTCGGTATTCAAGAAAGTACCAAGCTCGGACGAGACGCTACCGAGTGTGCTTCATCGTCGTGGCCTGGTTGAGTCACCAGCTTCGGGACGGAATGCGGCGTGGCTTGTGGTTTTGGCCATTGGGGTCAACACCTCCGATCAATTATTTCCTGTATTTGTTTATGGAGGAAGCTCTGCCTTTTGTGATGGCAAAATGGTGGAGTAAAGCTCCACCTTTGACGGAGATGGAGAAGCTGGAGCTTGCGTTGCAAAATGTAGATGAAGAATCAGATGAGTCTGATGAAGAGGAGAATGTCAGTGATCAAGAAGGAGCGAGGTTGCTTACAAAGGATTCGAAGGAACGTCCGTCTTCTCCGACAAGTCCACGACGGAAACACAGTGATCTTGTTGTTTAGATTGAGACGTTGGTGCTCGAAATGTGTAACATCATTAAATTCTATATTGGCAATGTCGAATACGTTGTCTTATATTGCTTGGTGTTTCGCTTAATCGCGTTAGTTTCAGCAACATTGAGCTATTAGAAGTCACAGCACGGCGTCGCAGGTAGGTCTGGTTGATGAAACTAGACTGTGCTCTCGCTCTCATTTACTGTTTTGCCGGCTCAAGCAACCACGCCAATGTTCACCATGATCAGGCTTAGTGTCTTACTCGCAGCAGCTGGGATCACACTTAATCATGTCGACGCGGTATTTCTTCGTCAACACGAATCAGTTCGCGACTTGAGCACGTTGGAAACCAGCGAAAGCGGTTCGACTGATGCGTTGGATTCTTTTAGCGACCGCTTCCTGGCCAGTATCGACAGCTCGAGTGGTTTTGGCGACAGTGATGATTCAGGTGAAGGTGTATCAGTGGATCGGCTTTTGGTCCAAGACGTGATCAGCTCAGACTTAACGGATGAAAGTGAAGACGGATCTACATTCCTGGGTAGACCCACCGTGCGGAAGAGTCTCGATTCAAGCGAGGAAGTTGACAATGAATCAAACGACGACGTCACAGCCTCAGAAGACAGCGAAGATGATAGTGAGGACAACGTGGACACTCCTTACCAGCCGGGCACCATCAAACCTGCTCCAATCGACATCTCGGCGTCGGCAAGCCAGGGATTTGACAAGTCTAGCTTGTCCTGGTGGAAATAACACAGAATAACAAAATAGACTTGGAGATGCAATCTAAGAATTATATTTTTCAGACTTCATTTCTTTTCTCAGTTTTCTTTTTCTTCTTCTTCTTTTTTTTTTTTTTTAGTTTTTATGTGGTTCATCCAGACGTAAAATACTGTCCACATCCAAACATAGCACCGTCTAAGATGAGTGAGCGGTGCAGTGCTTAACCATATCACCCGCCGACGTTACCAACCTATGGTGTTCTGCCTTCGGGCAAGAATCCGCAGTTTTTATCTCTATTTGTGGCATGGAATTTTTGCAGCACCGATAGAGACTGATTCCACATTAAAAACTCGGCCAACGTCTCTTTGTACAGCATCTCATTCTCCGTTTCTCAACGTCTCCGAGCAGAAATACACATTCGAGAATACCAATAATAATTTTTGCGATCAAGCAATGACCAGAGCTGTATCGGAACAGAGTGCTCATCCAAGACACCCCAAGCAGAAGTTTTCATACCGACCACTTTCATTTTTTCTACGGCCTGGGAGCATCTCCGACCTACCTTTGAAGTCATCGACATACACGACACTAACAAGGACAATGACCAAGTTGAACGTCATCCTCAGCTTCGCCGCCGTCGCCCTGGCGCTAACCACCTTCAACGATGTCAATGCTGCCAGTCTCCGTAACCCCGACACTACTGAGCGTTTCCTGTCCAGCTACGATGCCAGTACCAGCGACAGTGCCGACGGTGAGCGCTTCTTGTTCGAGATGGAGGGCAGCGAGGGATCGGATGCCGAAGGCAGTGAGAGTTTGGCAGGAGACCGCTTCCTACTCGAGATTGTCGAAGGAAGTGACAGTACTGTCGACGATGAAGGAAGCGACAGCGAGCGTTTCCTGCAGGAGGTCGACAGTAGCGAGAGTGCCGCTGATGATGAAGGCAGCGAGGGCTTTGCCGGTGAGCGGTTCTTGGCTGAAATGGAAGGGAGCGATAGTACTGAGGGTAGCGAGAGTGTCGACGGTAACCGGTTCCTCCTGGAAGTTGACAGCAGTGGGGGTTCTGTCGATGATGAGGGCAGTGACAGCGTCGACGGTGAAAGATTCCTGGAGGAAGTAGCTGGCAGCGAGAGTGCCGACACCG